CCTAGGAATTCCATAGAAGTCCTAGGGCCCCAGGAGCAGGCCCTCCAAGCCCATATAAAACAATGTTCTTTGATTTCCTGAACAATCTGAAGACCAATTTCATACTTGACATAGCCCTAAAGACCTTTGTTTCCATCTTTGGCATCCTTCAGAAGTCCTCTGACTCACACAGAGTCCAGTTACTAGAAAGCCTCTTCCCTTGTGGGGCACAGCTGCAGAACTAGGGCTCTGAGAAAGCACTGCCTGACACTCCAGTCAGGCACAGCCCACCCTTCCTCAGCCCCAGCCACAGGGCTGCCCACTGTGGGACATGCAACTTGACCACTCAAAACAAGCTCACTAAAGAATACATAAAGAGCTTGACAGAGCCATAGAGGTATTTAGAATTATGGTACCTTAGTAGTCCAGTTTTAATAATCAATTTACAAAGTATTTAAACACAGTACTGTAATGTACAGTGTTCCATAGAAAATCCACAGAGCACTAACTCACATCAGTTTGGAAGTTATACTACTGATTGCCTTTCCCTAAGAGTTTAAAGAATAAAGAGGTGGAGCCCAGTCCAGTTCACTTCAGTTGTCTCTTCCTCCTTGACTTCTCTAACAACTGAAAACTTGGAACTCAGCATAATATACCTTGAGATACCCAGAAATTTGTTCTCCAGCAGAAAGGTGAGACTTTCCACCTTAAAGATGACATCAAAACCTTGGGCTATATTTTTAGCAACTCACACAATGTTCTTAACTCTTAAATGGAGTCAATGTTGAAATAGAGACAAAAAGTTTGGCTGCGACTATTTCCACATATACACAGGGTAGGCCACCCCGATGTCATCCTGCTCCCAGTACACACTGTTATGGCCTGCACTATCACTGCACACAGAGAACAGCCTGAGGATCATCGGAAGCATGTAACAGAAATGATGGTAGCACATGAATGCTCAGGAGCTACACCAAGCTCTATAGGAAAGCAAGTGTCCAGTCCCTGCTAACCCTCTGCAGATCTCATAGAGCAATTAGAGGTCGTGGCCTCAGAACCCTAAGATGGCAGCTGAACCTGCCACATTGCAAAGCCCCAGTCCAGAATAGGAGATAATCTCCAAATAATTACTAAAATATCCTAACTAATACATTACAACACACAATAATAGATATGCTTGTCTTACTGGAAACAGGCCGTACCAAAGATATCTGAAGCAACCAGGTGCAGTAGCACAACCCTATAATCCCAGTTACGCTGGAGACTGAGGAAAGAGGTTCACAAGTTTGAAGCCAGCCTAGGCAGTACAGCAAGATCTTGTCTCAAAATAAAAATGAAAAGGGCTGAGATTGTAGTCCAATGATAGAACACCCTTTGGTTCAATCCCAAGTAGAGAAAAAAAAATGTGTGAAGCATTTTAATTGTTCTTCAAGTTCAACTTTTCCATTTCTGAAAAAGAAAACATTCACATATCCTGCAAATTAAAATCAGATAAATTACCAGTTAGTAATGTTTTCTTTCCAAGTCATCAGGTTAACAGTGAGGACTTTAGACAGGTACTCTTATTTTACACAGTCATAAAACAAATATCCTTAAGTAAACATGTCATTAATATATAATTGAGAAAGACCTAACTTGCAACATTCTTAGTGGCCAACAAGAACATAATTCTCCTTAGCAAATAACTACTTACAGTACACTTTCAACAGAGAAATTATTTGCAATCAATATAAATAAAAAATTTATAAATCCAATGTTAATTTTCCTGAAGAAGTAGTCAGATTGGTGCTTTAGCCAATTCACTTGATTATATATCTTTTATCCGTGTATTTAATAAAGCTTTGAAACAAGAGCACAGTGCAACTATACAGCACATGGTCATACCCAGTGTAAGGTTTCTTCAACACAAGCACTTTAGACCTTGTATCCATAGCCACACATATGGGGGAAGCAGACGCTTAGGTTACACTGTCCTCTCCTGACAGAAGCAGCCTGATCTAGGGTCCCAGTTAATAGAGTAGAATGATTATGGTGTAGTCACGGAGCTACTGAGAGCTGAGAAAAGCAGCGATCTGCAACAATGGGATTGAAAGCTGAGTCACAAGAAGTCCCAGAACGTGCATGACTCACGCAATTCAGCCAGCATCTCTCCCTTTCATTCTAATTAGTTGTATCTGGGCTGAAGAGAAAATTTAACTAGAGTAAACATTGGAGGGAAGAATTCTGGAGGGAAGTAAGTTGATATGAAAAGAAACACAAGAGACTGGGGGCATGGGGGCATGGGAAGTGATTAAGGTACTCTCAATGCATAAAATAGAGCACTTCAGTTAAAAGCAAAGTTTTCCTAAAACACCTGGAAAGATGCCTCAGTGCCCCACGTTCCTGAGCACAGATGTGGTCAGAATAGCAAAGTGTGCATCTATCCTGAGGTCTCCTGGGGGAGCAGAATGAGAAAGTGCTTCCGATCACATCTCTGTATTCATTGGGGGGAACCGGGCTGGATGTCTGCACAGGGGAAGCAGCAAGCATCGCCTACCTACCTATTCAAGAGCCCATCTCCCCATGTGAAAGCAACAATCCTAGAAAACAATAATTGCCATCTGGGGGCACCAAAGCAGCCAATGTGAAGAGATGCCATCAGTAATCTTAGGTGCACAGTAAAAAGCCTGGTTCTCCAGCACCCTGATTTCAAAAGCACACACAGCTTTTCTCCTTCAGCCTGGCTGCTGGAAGGAAAGGCATGGGTCTGGGAGGCCTCTTCACTCAATCGTGCAAGGAGGAGTGCTGTCAAACTGGGTGTGGTGAACTGTAATATATTAGGAGGAAAATTTACCTTGGAGGCATAAACCTGACAAATGCTCCTTCTGTACTCCTCTGGGAAAGTGATCTGCCAAAAGTCCCTACTACACTCCATCAGAACATTTTGTAGTTAGATCATTGCAGAAAGTAAGTTATTGCTAATATAATAGCAAAACTGGTTTCAGAAGCAGATTCAAACTAAACTCTAAATAACATTTGGCATGGCAACATGCAGGAAGAATATCCTATGTATTTATAAAATAGAAGAGTATCTTTCAATGTTTAGAAAACTTGGGGATTTGCAAGTGCCACTAGTCACCTCTGTGCTGTATCTGCAGCCTCTGCCGGCTCAGCAGCATGTGAGCGGAGCTCAGGCTGGGAACACTGTCAATGCGTGCCAAGGCAGATTTCAGCCTGCCTGCTAGAAAAGGGTAGCGCTCTCCACAGTATTCTCAATGCTTCCAGTTGTGTATCTATGAAACAGAAGACAACACAGAAATAAAATCATCCTGCTTGTGCATGCAAGTCCAACAGCAGCCAGGAGGCACATCTCCACACACTGCAGATTCACATACAAAGAAACTGTTCGGGCATCTGCCTGGCAGCTTCATGTGCCACATGTCACACAAGGTACCATTCTAAGGACAAAACATTTCTGCTCCTATGTTCCCATAAAGTGCAAAATATTTCCACGCAAAAGGCTTATACCGTTCTTTAAAATGCTCGCACACATCCACTCAATGCCTCATTCCCTAGGAGCAAACAGAAAGCTCATACAGTGTCATTGTTCTAGCAATTTTCTCCTACTCTGCCCACAGCCTTATTTATACAAATGTAGACACTGCTCACATGGGTACAGTTAAAGAAAATAAACTGATGAGCCGGAAAATCTAACATGCTACAGGCTTACACCGAACATCTTTTTAACTAAAACTTGGCATTTTATATGAAGTCCCGATCTTGAAGTGTCACACATTACACAAAATCCTTTTCATAAAAACATTTTTGCTTTTGTCACCGCCTAAAATATATTAACCTCACAGTCTGAAAATAACACTCCTAATATAGGGTAATTTAATATTTCCATCTCTTTTTTCATTGTAAACATAAATATGAAAATTACATTTACAACTCAGTAGTGATAGTTTTAACCCCAAACAAACATTACCAGAGGGAATATTTGGGGAAAACATGCAGTGAAACATTTACCACCAATTTAATTAATTGTACAAGGCAGAATATTTTTAAGTATATTCTTTCACAAGAGAATAAACATTTAGCATGCTTCATCCATATGGCACGAATGCTATACATATGACTACTGGATTTGATCCCATCTTTGGCTCCATAGAAATTACTGTGTACACATCATCCTCATGACTGCTTTCAGCTCTCTGTGTGGTTGGTTTCACACAAGGTACAGCTAATATCTGGGCCAGGTCCCTACTTGAGATACCCAGTTTTATGCTTAAAAATTCATCCACAGCTTCCACAGTCACAATAGTTGTTCTTGAGTCTTTTCCTGGCTCCACTTAGTTACCTGTAAAAGTCCAAGTTTTGCGGGGAGTTTATACTGGACAGAGTCACCTTCTGAGATGACCTCTTCACATGTAGAGGTCACAGACAGACCCTGTGTGACTTCCAAAGCTCTGTACACCATTTCAAGTGGGCATGGAGGCTCCTGTGTACACAGACAGCACAAGGTCTCTTTCCCACTAGGATGAGTCTCCACACAAATGGCAAGAAGCAGAAAATCCTACACTCTGTGTTAATGATTGAATTTTAAAATACAGCCTATAATATTGTCTCTTCTAAACTTAAAGAATTAAAGCATAATTTTTTTCTAGATGAATCTACTTTAAAGATCACCCTGCAAATATTTCTTACCATATTTAAGTGGTTGTTCTTTATTTTATAAAGAATTAAACATATCTATAAAATTCTGCTATGCTTTCACTTCTCAAGAGGTACAAAAGTTATAGCATTTTCATTTTGTCTGATTTATAATTAATGAATAAAATAAAATAAACCTGAATAATAAATATTCACTAGACCTAGGAATTACCTAAATTAGGAACCAAAGTTCCCTATAACACAAACAGAATGTGACTAAAATAGTAGGAATTGTAACTGGGACAAGTTGCCGTGTAGCTCAGCAGCACACTGAATTTTCTTTTATGAGCCACAAATGGAGCTTGCCAGGCAAAACCCATGCATCTTCTTCACACGTGAGTACAGTTGGTTGACGATGGGGTGTCTATTCGGGTTTTGTTTTCTTTGTTTTCATTTAGAGGTGACTCATTTTGAATGCGGCACTTGAACACTTGCTTATAGGCCTTTCTGAAATTTTCAGAGAGGAAGGCATATATGATAGGATTCACCGAGGAATTGCTGTAGGCCAGGCAGTGGGCAGTGATTCTGAAGAAGAAGGAAGCTGGGGTCAGCGGGAAGGCCCCGAACTCTGCCCAGAGATGGATGATGTGGTGGGGCAGCCAGGAGATCCCAAACACCACAACCACCACCAGGACCGTCTGTGCTGTCTGGAGGAAGAGGACGGGGAAGAGAAAAAGCAGAGGTGAAGAGGAGAACCGGAGGTGCACGGCCACACCAGGGGAAGCCCGCACGCTCAACCCACCCTGAGGGAATGTCAGATTTATTTTCATGGGATCAAAAGAAAGTCACTAAATCTACACAGGTGCTTTCACTTCATAAGATGTTTCTGTTTGTAAAAGTTTTTAAAAGAAAAGCAAAAACACACACAGCTACCACTGCTCTCGATCACAGGAACAGAAATGTGCAAATATAAAAGCCCTTAATTATTAAACCAGCAAAAACTCTGCCAGGGTGCACACACCCCGCTGCATCTCTGGGGTGGTAGCTCTAAGAGCACCAAGCTTTGCTCCCAATAGTCATTTCCATGGACAGGTGTGAAGATATTTGTTTCTCTTCATTAAACTTCAGTAAACTAAAGACCACATTGATTGACTTAATGCACTGAGGCATTCCACTTACAGTTTATTGATCACTGGCCCCATTTCTTGCTGGCTTTTGTCTTAATCCTTCCCATGCTGCTCCTAAATCATAAGCACTTGGAAATCTGAGGCAGGATTCAAGTATTCCCTTTGCAAGTCCTGCTGAGCTAGGAGGCAGTTGTCTCTGTTTGACAACCTCCAACACAAGAGAATATGTGCCTGCTTTGCTCTGTGTGCTGTCTTTGTGGACATGCAGCCCAGTTGACCACAGACCAGAAGGCTGAGACTGAGCCTCCAAAGGATGACCCTGTCCAATACCTGACGAAAGGCAACAGCTGTAGAAACCTGTGACTATTGAAAGAGATCTCTATTGAGTCAAACAGAAGACAATAGTATATCTTATTTAAATGCCTTAAAGGAGCTTAGTATTTTTCAACTGTAAAATTCAGAAGAACCAGTGGGCTCTTTCCTTAAAGAAGGACAGCTTCAGAATGGTGCGGGGCCTTGCTGGTCACAGAAGAGTCCAGGCAATTAGCCTGTAAGCCGACAATGGCCAAGCACTGGCTATATGCACAACCTTGCTCAGCTTCCTCCACAGTCCTACAGAGTAAGCCCTAGAGGGACCCATAGGTTTTAAGCAGGGAAACTGAGACTCAGAAGAATTAAGACAGCTGTAGGCTCCACAGTAAAATTCAAAGGCAGAGCTGAAAGCCAAGACTGTATGCTCCCAAATCCACATGCAGAAATGTTGGGAGTTTCAGAGAGAGAGGTTCACAAATCTACATGGTCACTACCAACCACACCCCCTTCTCTGCTACCCAGGGCTCCCCATCAAGCAAAGCATCTGGGGCACAAGCCCCTCATAAGGTAGTATTTGTGTCACTTCTCTAACCTAATCAGACAAAGCAGCTCTGGCTTCTCCCATGTGTGATCCCAGCACTCTCCTTCTCACTCCGCAGAACAAGGGACACAAGGGCTTCAGGGGCACATCTATAGAGCCCTTGGCCCAGGGCCGGAGCTCCAGTGATCTCCTGCTTTCCCTCAGGCACAAGCCAGGTGGTCATACTTTAGCATATGCTTCAACACCTGCCTACTTTGCAGACCTAGAGGCTGCAGGGCTAGGATCTTTCCCTGACATTCCAGTCAGGGTGCCGACTCACATCACAAGCTTGGCCTAACCGATGGCTGTCAGTCAGCATGCTCTTCTGCAATTTAACTGAAATGTATGGACAGGAGAGAAAGTTAGCAGATTCTGAAAGAAGGTGGAACCATATGGAGGCTTATGTTTCTCATAGCTTCACACTGATGGAAGAATAAGACACAGGAAAATGACTTCTATTAAAGCTGGGTCTGCCAACACACACCTATAATCCCAGAATTCTGGGCTAATGAGGTACAAAGATTGCAAGTATGAGCAAAGGATGGGAAATCTGGCAACTTAGCGAGAACATACCTCAAAATTTAAAAAATATAAGGGAGGGTGACTGAAGATGTAACTCAGTGTGGAAACCCTAGGTTCAATCCTCAATACCAAGACATTTATTTTAAAGAAAAAAAAAACACTATTAAGACATACATCCTTTCATGTAAAACACGAAGACCTCAGGCCCTGTAGGACTATCGTTAGGCAAAGAGAAAGCAGAAAGAGAGTGCAACTCTACACAGCTGTGAGGGCCACATTCCTGAACGGCAAGAGGGTTTTCTTACTGTTTCTCGAGTGGGGATCCTATTCTTACTGAAAATGACATGGAGAAGTTCACATGTGAGATACTAACCTTTTCCAAACAGATGCTATGTAAGAAGACCTAGATATGCATTGATCAAAACTGTAGGCTGGAAGCCATGAAGCTGTGGCCAGCACTCAGGCAGAAATGGTGGAGAGGATGGTTAGATCTCTGCATATGCAGCAGTGAGGAGCAGCAGGTAGGACAGCTAAGCTCGATAGGCACCCTGGGCTTTGCAAGACCGAGGAGCTGACAGCAGGTCTGGGCCGTGCACTAGCTGCCCAACCTTACACATTGTTGTAAGTTACTGGTCAGTGCCGAAAGAAACGATGAGAAGACCTGATGAATGTAGCTTCAGAGGTCTCACTGAGATTAGTCTCTCTCCAAGTGAGCCCAGAGCCTCAGAAGGAGCTCACATTTATTGAGGGGTAAAGGCAGACTAAGGAATGTGCATAATTACCTAAGTGAATGTAAACTACTATCTCTATTAACTTTCACTATTTGCTTAACACTAGGTTTACACAAATGCTAGCCAATAACATCTCAAGCAAGGGAATCAAAGGACAGGGCACCTGCAGGAGAAGCTGCTATCTGCTGCCTTGGGTCCCAGCTTGCCGGGAATTTGTAAACAGACAGCAACCCTCTTTGGGCTCAGTCCAGTGTTTCCTGCTCTCTTGGGACACCAGGCTTTTGTCTCAAATCTATATCTCCACAGCACTTAATTTATGGAGAAGAAAAAATTGGGAAATGATCCCCAGACAAGGCCTTATCCACATAAGCACTAAGACAACTGAGGTATAAAAGCCTGTGGCCAGGTGTTATGGAGTAAAAGCTTACATTTTAAACCACTTAGTGAATAACACACAAAGCAAACAGGTAATATGCTTACCTGTATTAAGGAAGTGCTTGCTACTGATTCATTTACCCATTAGTATGTGAGAAATGCCACTCCCAGAGCATTTAATCAAATAATCTAGATACGATTATGCCTACTAATAGGACAGAAATACTCCCCTTTTCTTTTGAAGACAATCAAGCCATATCTGCATTTCATAAAATAATCACCCAAATGATACTACTGCTTCTTTTAGGAACTGTTTGCCAAGCACAAATGTGCTCTGACCTCAGCAGCTGATTGATAAGATCCATATCTTATCAAAACCCATAAGGCAAATGAATGGCAATCTGCTCCAAGTGTGGAATATTTTCTATGGCAGTGTTTGTGCCTCTACACATCTGTAATTCAAAAAATTGGACAAGAAATGTGGGCAAGAGTCATTTTTCTTTTAACTGGTCAACTGGTAGCTTTGAGATGTGACTAGATTATAGTTTATAGTATAAATATTGAGATACAGTACTGAATAGGTATTTATATAAATTATCATTTATCTAACATCACTCCTAAGAGTTTAATAGAGAGCTTGTCAGGGCCAGCTTTGATCTGAGCAAAGCGTCTAAGTATTTCCTGTCCTCTGCACTTCTCTCCCACCTTCTCAGCCCACTGTGGTTGCCTTTCTCTTCCCTGACTTACAAATCAGCACCATGGACACAGGCCTGAGCCCTGTTACCCAAGTCCCCGGGCTGATACTGCTTCAGATACAACAGCATCAGGAGACAAATGTGTGTGCGTGGCTGGAAAGAGTAAATGATTTTGACCTTCTTTTTTTTCCCTTGTAACAGATCCTAGCAAAATTGAGAAGATGAGTTAATCATAAACTGTAGAACTGTGCAGTTCATGATCTGAGGCTGGGATTGTGGGTCTGAGTACTGCTGGGATTATGGGTGTGAGTGCTCCACCCAGCCTGGGTCTGATAGCCTGAATGTAACATAAGAGAGACAGAAAGACAGACTTGCTCTCTGTATCCACTGTTGCTGCTACTTCTCTATTTTGCTCTTTGCTCTTGGTCGCTGCCATGAAAGGTTGCCCTCTGCCATCTGCCAGTCTGCCTTGAAGCCAGCTGAGTATGGACTGAAACCTCCAGTAACTGTGAGCTAAATAAGTCTTTCCTTTTGAAGAAGAAGGAGGAGGAGGAGAAGGAGGAGGAGAAGGAGGAGGAAGAGAAGGAGGAAGAGGAGGAGGAGGAGGAGGTAGACAAAGAAGGAGGAAGTTCCATGCCCACAGGAAACCAGGTTTCTTGATTCTCCATTTCATCTTTTCCAACTCAGAACACCGTAGGTCTAGAATGCTCTAACTAAAGTTCAAGATGTGGTTACACTGCACACAACCCCAGCTCTGGGCTCCTGGGAAGTCAGGACACCCATTGCTACCCAGTGCAAAGCTCTGGGCCTCAACCATTGCTGATTCATCTGGTAGGAGCTATTGGGAGGCTAGCCTTTTTAAGAAGCTCAAGGGGTGCTTGGAGAGTCATTCATAAATTACTGAGAACACACTATGAAGTGCAAATTACTTCTCTCACCTCAAGGTGAAGATAACCAAAGCGATGTTTTGTTCAACACCAACAACCTTCAAGACTAAGGCAGCCCCTCATCAGAAGAAGCAAAAAAGTCTGTGTCCCTTCTTTCTTTCTGAAATGGGAACGTAACACAGACTCCCCTTTGTGAAAATGAGGCTGACTTGTTTTCATTTCTTACAGGATCATTTGCCTCTCCAGGAAATGGAATTGTAGGCAGACTGTAAATTACTAATCTCAAGAGTCTATTTAAAGCATAGAACCCCAATAATACCTGCTGATAAATGGGGGAAAAGTCATTAAAGTTCCATGCTAATATTTACTATACTTGAGATTAGATTCTTTATTAGGTGATTTCTTTTTGTTCTTTAAACTGAGAATATCTAAAAAATATTAGACTTCTGATCACAGGATGCTCTTTTTCAAGCCATTTGAGACATCTGTCCTTTCTTCAAAGAGTGTCACTCACAATGTACCAGTGAAAATTGGCTGGGAATCAAAGGGTGACAAAAAGATGAGAATGATGAAAAACACTGAACAATTTGTATAAATGACAGCCAAAAAGCTACAGAACTACTTCAAATCAGAGAAACAGAAAGTAAAATGAACCCAAAAAGCAGCCAGTGAAAGAGCCCAACCGTCAAGGCAGCCTTTGATCCAGGTCCTCTCCCTGAAGAAACCACCCCTCCCTGACCACCTTCTTCTGAGGTCTTCCATGCACTGCCCATGAATTTATTCTCATATCCTGTGAGCCTCACTCCAGAAACACTTCTTTGTGTCTGGTAAAGCTTCAATAAAAACATTTCAGCAGTTATAAGGTTCTATACTATTATTTCTGTAATAGAAATCACCTCTTCTCTTGCATTTTCCTCCAAACAATAGAGTAACTGCATAGTTATCACAAAAGGCTGAATTCTCCACTTCATAAGAATCATAAACCTCCCCTGATGTCGACATGGTTTAAGTGTCTGTGTCTAACCCTCAACATTGTACTCTGACACCTAATCTTCACAGAGATAGTATTAACAGATGGGCCCAGGGGGAGGTGACTAGGCCGTGACCCAGAGGGAGGTAACTAGGCCATGGCTCAGAGCTTTCATCAATGGAATTAGTGCCTCTGTAAAAGAGCCTCCCTCCCAGACAGCTGCCTGCTTCTTCCTCCGTGTAAGAATGAAGAGTGAAGAAGCAGCATCTATGAAGCCAGAAAGACTCAAATCTGCTGGCACTGGGTGTTGAATATTCGAGCCTCTGGAGCCCTGGGAAATAAATTCTATTTATAAGCTAACCGGTATGTTTCATTTTGTTATGTTATGGCAGTCCACAGTGATACTATAGAGAAAGGAAATTCTACTTAGCCCTTGAGAAGAAAACCAAGAAACAGAGTAGAGAAGAGCAAGCCACCAAAGTCTACATCCTATCTGTCCATCATCCATTGAAATACGTGTCCCATCAGTCCACTCCTGACCAAAGCTAGATGACATCGGCCCTCTGGTCGCCAGACATTCACTGTCACAGGAGCTGATCCTGTATTCTTCTTTCCTCTCCACATCACTGTCCGTTCTCTGATTTCCTTCCCTTGCTCCTCTACCTACTGTCCCTTCTCCCGACTTCTTTTCTCTTTCCACTTGATCTGCAAGCCCCTCCCCTGCACCTCTCCCTTATCTGTTCCTTAGACACACATGTACCCTACCACCACCACATTTATTTGCCTTATGTAAACAAAAAGGCAGTTAAATATAACAAAAGATAGTTGACATCTGTTCAGTAGCTAGTGAGGGTTACTATGAGGAAATAGTATAAATTTTCTTCTCTTTTTCAAATACTAACACCTTTCTACAAACAATGAACAAGATATTTTATATAAATAGATATTTTACACATATATGCATATATCAAAGAAATTATTAAACTACTAAATTTACTTTTTTATTATAAAATAAAATAGAAGTTTTTCTAATCATTGTTTATAAGATGTATTTCCTTTCTTTTAACTGTTTTGCTCCTCTCTAGAAACATTACAGCTTCTCTGTAACATTTTTAAAATATAGAGAATAGAACCACAGCATAAACACCCAAAACCTAACCATAGACCTGAACACAATGCATCTAATATTTTAGATATACCTCATTGCATTCTTTGATAACCCTAATTTTTAAAAAATCAATAATAAACCTGTAGCAATGGTGTCATCTCCCTTAAGTACAGTGAGCTGCTCCTTCCCAAGGGAAATCAGTCTTTGCCTCCCCTGCTTCTTGAAGAGTTCAGCACTGAGCAGTGCTTCCGGGCTCAGACACCTCCCTTCCACTGCAGCCTTAGCTTCCAAGTGCAGCCCTTCCTCTTATACCCCCTAGGTCGGCTCAGTCCTGCATGGGGTAGATACTCTAAATAACTACCCAACGGGAAATCAGAAACAATCCTTAATTGTTCTAATGCATAATTTTCATAGAGATGAGAAGTGTGGTTCAAAGGCTTTCTAACAGACTGAAAAAATATAAAAGCTACAGAGAAAGAGTACCTCGCTAAAAACAGGAGGAAACCAGCTTTTGGCCTTTGCTCCACTCACACAACTCAACAGCTGACCTCCTCAGATGTTCCAAAGAGGGGGCTAGGAACTTCAAATTGGGCTTTCTAACCATTTTTCCACCCTTGGTTATCAATTCTGCAAAGAAGCAAATTTTAGCCACTTTATGATTTACACACAGGGACATCAAGAAAAACTCTTGGAGTGGAATTTTTTTAATGTAATTAAATTACAACTTCTGAAAATTATATGTGTCACTGGTCACAATAAATATTTATAAGGAAAAACAAGGTATTTTAAGGCATTGTTAGCAATGTTTCCAGGTTAAAACCTTGGGTATAATATTTTCCTCCCCCATCAGATTATCTAATAATTTCATTCCACTCTCTGAAATCAGAAATTTTATAGCTCTTATCTGAATATGAGTTAAATTAATCTCAATGAGTTAAATAGTCTTTTTTCAAATGTACAAAGTGATAAATATCAGAAAGTTGGATGCTTTAGTATTACTCTGGGGAAAATCTGCTCAAATCAGGAATCACTGGATGAGAAAGAAGAAGAGGATTATAAGAGATCAGGTTCCCCTATGATCTTTCATCCTGTTCCCCACAGTATGTTGGGGGAAGAGCCAAGAACAGTAAAAGGTTCTTGAGTCTTTGGGGAGTAATTATATCAATGAGCTCTCAAAGGGAATTAAACCAGGCCTTTTGGGATCACACTAGAGGTGGTAAAAATGAAATAAGATGAAGGTATGTCCTCACGAATCACCTCTGCCCTCGCCCCAGACAACTGAGAACACACCTCCCCATGACGTAAAGTACCCACAGTCAACCTTTCCTGGCCTCTGCACTGCCTCCTAAGTCTGGATGCAGGCTGTGCTCCTGCAGCCCCACAATCACTTCTCTCTGACTTAGCAGTAATAAATCCTGCAAATATCTGCCCAAGGAACCAAGATTGCTGTAGACTTTGGAAGATATAAAGATAATTTAAAACAAAAATAAACTAAGTTCTCAAAACAGACAGAGACAAACATTTATTAATGTTACCTTTTTCTTCGATGTTTCTGACTTCTTGGACATGTTCTTCAATTTTTTATGTAAGTGATTAAGAACCTGAAAAATATATACCAATGAAATCTCAGTTTGCCTCATACAACACATTGCCAGTTTTGTACTGAAAATTATGGACACAATGAAGTGGCAATGTTACTGTATACTCCCTAAAATAGGAACACACATTACATGGCAAAGTAAGAGTCTAACTGCTGAATGTGTCTGGCTTTCTAGCATTTAAAGAAATCCTGGGCCCCTCTTGTATATGACTGATCTGTCTCCTGCCTCAGTTTCCTGCAGAAGTCTATGTGTCAGCAACTGCCTGTTCACTACTACTATACATCAAGCACAATATCAGATAATAGATAGATTGAAGCCTAGAGACCTGCACTCTGGAAGTCTGCCTCCCAATGGGAAAAGGCAGATGAACAAACGTAGATAATAGAATTCAACCTTTCTTGAGTGTGATCAAGCCAACCTCGGCATCATTCACCTGCACATATTCCTTGTGTTCCTTTCATGAGCTTGTGCCACTTCAAATCTCCATAAAGCAGATAACTCTCCATGGAGCCTCCTTTCATTTGTTATTCATATCCTACCCATTTGACATGCTTTTATAGGCAATGTATTTTTTTTTTGGACTTCAGCATCTCTGATGCTTTATAGAGCATTTTGCAGAGCTTTACAATCAATAACCTTGTCAGGATGTCTCCTTGAGATACACTGGCTTCCTTAAATTCAAAAAACTTTTTTTACTGCTTTTCCCAGAGTAATATTTAACAGAAATGACATGAAGTGATTTGGCTCTGTATAAGAATTTCCAATCTCCACTTGACTGACAGAGCTAACCCTGCAAGACTGTAACCAGAGCTTATTTTCCCCCTATGGGAGAACCTGGAGCCAGTTCAGCATTTACATGACTAAGGGCTTCAGATTGGCTGTGGATTGCTGGAGAGTCTCTTGGGGAAGTGGAGGTACACTCCAGCCATTTCTGTTTCCTTCCAGCGCTGCAATAGGGAAATGATTGAATCAAATTGGCTTATTACAGAAGTCTGCTCCTTTTGGCTAGAAGCTGAATTTCTGGGGCAATCAGTCATGTCGTAATTGAGAAGTCACAAATTTATTTACCAACTCGCCAAACCTATGCTGCTTCACAGTTGTAGTCAGACTATGGATTTCTGACTTTAGATCCTCTGCCCTACTAAAATACTTCTCATTTTCTGAAACAGCTTAGCATCATCTGAAGTAATCCCAGTCTTCACTTGCTATGGGTACATTTAGGATGACCAATACATTGACAATGGATTAATGCCAACAGAAATTGGGGTTCAAAACCTGGATATATAGAGAAAAAACGGGAGCAGCCTTTTGAGAGCTGCAAGTGAGAAAACCTCATAAGAGGGGTGGATGACTAAGAGGAAAGGCCCTGACCAAGGAGATCGGGCTGTCCAGCTGACCACCAGCAGCCTGCCACACGGGTGAGAGCAAAGGATGGCAATGATCAATCACTGAGGGCAGGTGACACAGTGTGACTAGAGGAGAAGCTGCACACAAAATCAGACAGGGACACCTGCACAGTCTGTTTCACATGTTATAGGAGGTCTACTCCTACCATCAACAAACTAAATCAGGTCATCACTCAGCAACTTTGAAGCACCTAAGAATGCTGAATGTTGTCCACTGGTCAGTGCAGAAAATTCCTAACCATATTTTTCTGAGCCCTATTTCTTTTCAGTAGCTCTTACAATGAACAATAATACACAGGACAAAGAATGTGAGTATCATGATCGATTATGACTATGACCCCACGGTGTCATCTCCCTACCATTCTAGACATTTCCAAGTGTTTGGGGGAAGGTGTCTGTTCAAACCCACACCAAGGTCATAGTGGGTACATCCCATGAAGGAATGTGGTAGGTGGGCACAACAGGAGTTTATTCTCCTGTTAGATGGAGGGGGGTTCTGTGCAGCAATTAATTCTAAGGGGAGCAAGTAGAAGACAACAGCAAAGAGGGGAGGCATCCTCAGGGGACACCCCTGGGCCAGCAACTGCAGTTTGTCCTCTGGCCCTGTGTTTCCTCAGGGATTTTCACCTATAAACAGCTGTTCTGCTAAACCCTGCTGCAGAGGACACTAGCACACAATTCTCTGATTAACTTTATCTGAGAAATGAGAAAAAAGATCCACACATTTTAAGTTCAAGTGTCTTTTTTGGCCATCTCAAAGTCTACATGCTGACCACCAGATTTGGACATTGGGAAAACAACCAGTCCTGGACCTCATACTCAAAAATGTCATTAATTGTATAGCTCATACTTAATAGATGAGGAAAACATAGCAGCTCAGAATATCGCATCCCCAGCTACTCCCACTCTGAAGTGAATTTGCAATTATTTCTTCAAATGCAAAGGATTTCTGTAATTGTTCTTAGAAACAAACTATTTCCTCATAAAAATATACAAGTGGTCACGCAGCCATTAAATTTTTAAAATCAACGTTAAACTTTGCCCTCCACATTTAATTTTTATAAACTGTTAAATGACAGAAAGATAGCCTGACCGGTCCTAAAAGACCTTGCCTTTCCATGAAGACTAAAATAATTTTCCTAAAAACTTTGGGGAAATAAAGACAAGTGCTTAAATTCAAATGCAAGATAGCAGGAATTTAAGAGACAAATCTCTTAAGAATCACTGTAGCCCCAAGACTTATGTTCTGCCCCTCCTTCCCCACAGCCCTCTCTGAAGAATTCATCTCAAATCCTTTCCCAGCTTCCCAGTCAGAAGACTCCTCGGAAACTCCTTCTCTTCACTAACAAAGCAGGAACAATGGCTCCCACCCATGGGGTTGTTGTGCAAGTTAAATGAGATGATGCAAGTTAAATCAGACAACTGCTGTGTGTATGTTTTAATTTTTTTATTTGCAGATGACTGGTTGCTGAAACCACCATTTCCAAATTGCTAAAAGAGTTATTTTCCAAACTCCATACCTCGACTGTATTCCTGTGTGCATAACTTTGGGCTCAGACTACTCTTGCAGACAATATCCAAACGGTCCCATTCGAAATAGAATCTGCACAAATAGTATAAACAGGGCAGGGACATGTCGTTTATTCTAAACAATTTTGCTGGGAAAAATACATGAATAGAAAATAAGGAATATAGTCTTGTAGTCACAACCTTCTCAGGAGCAGGAGAACCAGAGAGAGACGGAGTTAAGGAAGCCTCAGAATTGGGGTGGGGAGTCTGCTGGTGAGGGTGCCCTGAGGGGAAATGCTGGGCCCTGGACTTTGTCCAAGAATGGCTAGCCTATCACGTGACTACTAATCATGCAGTTGAGCTACTCAAACATGCAAGTTGTTTGCCAAAGAGGTTTGAGACATTTTGATGAGAATAAACTCTTCAAATCTTGTGTAATTGATGAGAAGGAAAGACTCTTTGGTCTCAAAATGAGCACTAGCTCCCAGCAAGAAGAGATGGTCCTGGAGCTCCGTGTCCTGTCGCCCTTCACAGCTGAACTGAACTCTCATTGCTGCTTCTATAAGTGTTTAAGAATGGGGAAACACTGCCTTTCCACTCCCTCCCACCCGTAGTTCTTTGGGGACTCCCATCAACAGTCTGTGAATAAGTACCTCTTTCCTGCTCTGGTTTAGAAAGCTAAACTTTTGTTTAAAGTAAAATGCAAAGTGCTGTTCCGCACTCGGAAGGCTGATTCTGCAAACCCCTGGGAAATAAGGGCCCACTGTGCACCCAGAGGACCCTCCAGGTCCCAGCTGAGAGTCATAAACAGCAAGAGGGCGACATCGCGGCTACAGACCAAGCTCCCCCAACGCACTCGGGCAGCTCCCAAGGCTGCAGGGAATTAACTTCCTTGCGCCCAGCTTATACGATTTGAGAGTCCCTGGAAGCCAGCCTGAGTCTCACATCGGAGGAGCAGCTCAGGGCAGACCCAGGCAGCACTGCGGGGCGTGGAGGGCAACGAAGCCCGGGAGGGGAAGAAGAAACAGCGGCTTTACTGGACGTCCAGAGCGGGTGGCAAACTTTCCCCAACTTCTCTCACACACCAAGGAACTTTCCTGCACCAGCCGCAGCAACTGTGCGGGAGTAAGCAGAGGGACAGCACGCTGGAGAAGAGAGGATCCCACCGCACAGCACTCTGAACGCTACACAGCGGACAGGGCAAGAGCAGGGGTGCCGAGAGACTCGGCCAGGGACACAGGGAAAGGAGGTGGGACCCGGCGCCCCTCGCCCCTCCGCCTTCCTTGAGACAGCCCGCGCCCGCTCAGTGCCCACCTTGGCATAACAGAAGCAGATGAGCAGAAGAGGCAGCAGATAGCCAAAGACGAAGGTGCACACCACATAGGCCTTCTTGTGGCTCAGGTTGGGCCACTGCTCCCAGCAGAAGGTCTGGTTGCTGATGTCCCTGTGGAAGAGGCGCTGGTGGTAGGCCACGGGCGAGGCCATGACGATGGAGAGCGCCCAGATGAAGCCCACGCCCAGAAGCGCGTTGCGGGACACCCTGAGAGAGGAGGAGCGCCGCGAGTGCACGATGGCTACGTAGCGGTCAACGGACATCGCGGCCAGGGTGAAGATGCTGACCAGCATGGACACGGTGAAGACGTAGTGGGTGAACTTGCAAACGAAGGCGCCCAGCACCCAGGTGGGCAGCGCGTACACCGTGGCTTGGAAGGGGATGCAGAAGAGCAGGTAGGCCAGGTCGGCGACGCTAAGGTTCAGGATGAACAGGTTGGTGGTGCTGCGCGGCTGGCCCGGCTTGCTGCGCGCCAGCACTGTGATCACCAGGCTGTTGCCAAGCACGCCCAAGACGAAGATCAAGGCAAACACCACCAGCGTGATGAAGTTATCCACGCCGATGCCGAAAAGCAGCCACGGCTCCGCGGCGAAGGCATTTGGTCCGCTCACGTTCCCCACGCTGACGTTCGCGGCTGCCAGCTCCATCGCCCACCTGGGCGCCCCCAGCTCAGGGCAGCGGGGAGCACTAGGAGTGGTGTCCACCTGGGAAAGCTCGCGCCAGGGTTGCCTGGCTCCCAAACCAGAGCACCGCGCTCGCGAGTTTCCAGCAAGAGCTAGTCAGTTTGGGTGGGCAAGGCTGGGGTCCGTACCCGGCGGCTCTGTCTTCGTGCCAGCCCTTGCTGGAGAGGATCTGGGGAAGCAAGCCCACAGCTGGGCTTTCCTGGCGGTGGCGGCGGTAGCCGGTGCGCAGAGGTCCGCTCCTGTACGCCTCTAACTGCTTCGTGGTCACAAAGCACAAAGACTGGCTTGGGGAGCCAAGAGGATGGAGAGAGCCCGCCCCGCGCCTAATCCCGTCCTTACCTGTTGCTCCCGGCCGCCCCCAGCCGCCGCGCTCTCAGGCTCTGCGCTGCACTGAGCAGCGCACTCGGCCTGCTGGAGAGGGCTCCTCCGCTCCCCGCGCGCAGCCTCCCCGCCGCGCAGTGCCTCCAACTCTCTCCAGTTTCTGTCGGGATTCCGAGTCCAGAGTCCACGGGGCGGACGCTGGCGCTCTCTGTGCTTCCTGGTGGTGGGCAGAGCATGAAGCTCCGACCTCTGCTGCATCCGAACGGCAGGGAAGACTCAGCCCTGCTCAAGTCTGCGCCCCCTGCGGGCCTCCTCAGGGTGCCCCCCGGAAGTCACCGCCCGCTAGCAGAGGGAGAACATTCCTAAACCGAAGGGTTCGCCGCCCCCTCCCGGCGGGAATAAACCCGCTGGGCTCCCCAGGTGCAGGCTGGCCGAGTCCCGGGAAGGCGGCACTGGGAGCAGCGCTGTCCCAGCAGGACGAAGGCGACTGCTGCGCAGCCTCCCAGTTGTGTTACCCTTAGTGTTCTCCAGGCGCTGCCAGGGAGAGCGCTTCCTGCCCCAGAACAATCCCTGGAAAATCAAGGATTGGCACTGCTACCTAGCATTTCCTAAAATTCTCTGTCTAATCCCAACCTCGTCCTTTCAAATGCTATGAGGAGATGAGCAAGGAAAAAAAAAAAAAAAAATCCGAAATTTTCTTTATAAATGTGTATAAGGATAAGGTGAGGATCGCGGTCTCAGCGCTTTGGAAGGCTGAGGCCGGAGTGTAGCAGGTTCAAATACAGCGAAGACAATTTAGAGACTTAGGGAGATCCTGTCTCAAAAAGCTGCGATAAAAAGGGAGGTAGCAGTAACAAGGCCATTGGCTCAATCCCAGCCCCAGGGAGTGGGGGTGGGGGTTCAGAAGACAATGTACTGTTGGTACCATTCCACTCTTGGTCTTTTCTGCCTTTTATCACTCATATGAATGACATAAACAGTATTAAAAAGTAAAGTATTTGTAAAATGAAAGAACAGGTTTAATATCAAATCACTGCTATAAATAAAATCTGGATATAGCAACAAGAAAGTGAGCTCTTTAAGCAGTGGTAGCAAGCAGTATCATCGTTTGGGTAGTTCCCAAAGAAAGTGCTGAAATTGACATGCATATTTACAGAGTTTGTGTAATTTGTCTATATTTGGATTCAAAACCACCAGCCTGTTTCCAGCACTCTCCCATGGTGACTGAGCTTCCATTCCCTGCTGGCCACAGGGCTACAGGGGCCATAACACAAAGAATAATGGGCACAGCTTCTTGGAGAAGCTCCCTGGGGATATGGCTAAAGCCGGCAAGAACTGCAAGAAATGTACCCACAAAGTCGACCGAAGAGCAGCTTCGCCTTGGGGAACGTGGGACTGAGGTATTATGGCCTTTTCTATCTCCCTTGCGCTGGTCTGCATCCTCCTATAGAAAGATTCTGATGTAGCTCACTACCTTAACCATGTACCTCATTTAGAATGGAGTGTCAGGCTGGGGACATAGCTCAGTGGCATAAGTGCCTGCGTGACAAGCACAAGGTTCGAGTTCTACCCCAGTACCACAAAAATAAATATAAATATAAGAAAGCAAAAGGGGAGTGTCTTGCAAAAGAATAATTTTATTGAAGCCTATTTTCTAAGGGTCTAAAAAGAAGTGGAATAACTCGTTTGCAGTACTGGAGCCAAGCCGGAAAACCCTCTTAGCTGTCTGAAGAGGAAGTGTCAATGTGCTGCCCCATTGTGTGGTTCATCGGCAATGTTGTGTTCCCCAAGGTGTTCTCTACCTAGGCTTTCATACATTCCCTTGTGATGCAAAACGTTGCACTGAAAGTTATATTTAATATGACTTGGGGAGAGTCATATTTTTTATTGTTATGAACTACTTTTAACAAAGAACACATATTATGAAATTATATCAAACATATGAGCCTACAATCCAGCTTAAAATGCTTACAAATTTAGCAGTAATATTGAAAGGATTTTTATATACTTCACAATTTTTACCTCCAAACACTATCTCCAGATAACACAAATGTGCTGGCTGTCAGTCATTGCTTTACATATTCTCAGCATGTTCTTAAATAGTGATAGTGAGGTAGCTTTTTTTAGTGTGGGGATTTTGTTTTTGCTTTATTTTAGTCTTATGAAATTAGTATTATAATACATGTCTTTTTTTGCTTTTGGATTTAACACATAATTTGTTGTTACTCAAGTAAACATTCCTTGCATCATTTTCTGTTATCCTTTTGCACCCTTCTTATATCCCACAGCCTCTTCAAAGCAGCACATAAATAAATTACTTTAAAATTCAATTTCACAATCTATTTTCAAACTAGTAAGTTTAGTCCATTTATATTTATTGTTATAATGATCTGTGTAACATTTAATTTTCACACTGTTTTCTGTTTCCTGAAGTTTCTCCCTCTGCTCTCATCTCACTGAAAGGTTTGATCCCCTGGCCCTCTGATCACCTTACATATCACTGCACCCTCAAATCATTCTCTATCCCTTATCCTGCTTTATTCTCTCACAGTATTTACCACATGCCACATGATAGGGGTTTTTTCTCTTTCAAAGTGTTGCCAGGAAAACCCATGGAGAGACTTTGTTTTGTTAATTGTTTCATCTCTAGAACATAAAATAATTCCTTGCACAAAACCAACATTCAACTGTAACCAGAAAAAAGTAGTATTTTAGGTACTTATTAAATATAGGGTTGGCAAACATGAAGTTGGGTAGGTTCATGAAAGATTACAGCTGTAGACATGAATTTAGAAGGTACTAAATTTCAATGAATAGAATTTAAAATTAATTGCTATCACTGTTCTCTTCCAAACAACTCAGTCTCAATACTTTTTAGCTCCCACCAACCTTTTTGTTATGGGTCAACTCTGCATAGGAACCAGATCAGCCAGGAACCAGATCAGCCAGATAGAAATTTGAATAGAGCCTTTTATTTACTGAACTCAGGTCCATCAGCCACTTCTCACGCAGGAGAAGGCTGATCGGCAATCGAACATAGGCAGCAGTGGGGTATTTATAACAGAAATCACATCCAGTTTGGTAAGCGAATTTGTTACCTAGCACAGAACAACAGAAGACTACATTCATTTGACACAGCTGCAAACTGTTCGTAATTAAAGATCTTTCATAGCTTAATGATAAGTGCATATTTTACAAGATACATCTTAAGCTGACCACATTACAGGAGATGGTTTGGGAGGGAGTTGGCTGCCTTGACAAGAAACAGTTATTTATTGTTGAACAGCCTTGAGCCGAGAGGGAAAATACATGTCTTAGAGTAGATAACGGGAAGCACAAGGGTTTTTTTTAAATAATTTCCCACAGTTAGGCACAGAATTCTGTTAACCCTTTATGCTTTTCACTTTACCTGGGTTTATTGTTCCATTGTTTAGGACTTTGAATTTCCTCCCATGAGGCACCACTGCTACACAACCAAGGTTCACTTCACCTTCCTAACTACTTGCCAGCTGTCTTCTTCTCCTCCCTCTCTGCATTTTAAACCTTTCTTTCTGCTTAAAGGATGCATTTTAGATTTTCCTCAGTGAGAACCAATGATAAAAATTGCTCATTTTCTTCCTAACTCAACTGCCCCTTATTGAGTAGTTACAGGACAAGCAGTTCCCTACTCTCAGCACACTAAATTTGTTATTCCACATTCTTCAGCCTTTATTTTTGCTCCAAGAAGTTTTCTGTCATGATTTATTTCTGTATAAATAATTTTACTTCATTTCTAATTTTGATATTTTGTCTTTCTTAGGAGTGTTTTATAATGCACTTTAATGTTTGTGATGGTATTCCTTTTCAAATCATTTGATTTTTAGTTGTAAACCTAAGGATTAGTGTTTTTCATTAATTCTCAAAAATTCTCAGCCATTAGCTCTTTCATTGCCAAATTTCTCAATTCTTAGAATCCTCTTCTTCCAGAATTCTGAGTTTTGTCACTCTCTTCTCCAAGCCCCTTAGTCATGTCTTCATGTTTTTAATCCCTTTATTTGAGTCAGCTTACTGGTATTTCACTAGTTATCCATACCCTCCAACTCATTGTTCTTCTTGAGTTATAATGTGTTTTTATCAAATGTACTGAGACTGCTTTTTAATAGTTTGTTTTTCATTGTTCATCTTTCTATTTACCTCTCACTTTTATTTACATGCTTTAAGAATCCTGATTTTATATTGTGAAAATTCTGATGTCTAATCCTAATAAGGTACAATTGTGTTCTCATCATTTCTATTGAAATTACTGTAGCTTACTTAATACTTAAAAAAAAATCTTTTGTACTTTAGAGTTCTATTTGGCCAACACGTAGCTGTGAGAAATTTGTGAGCACTGGGTTATGAGTATATTCCTACAAAGGTGTATTCATGACTTCTACCCCGAAGCTCAAAGCACCATCAAATCAGGAAATTTTAAAGTCCACTTCTCAGTGTGACACTTGACATGCCTCAGGAAACACAAAGATAATCATAGACCCCAAAAGCTATATGACACATACAACGAGGACACACATTTTCAGTGATACTTGTTCCTCCGGTCTCTCTGGATGCCACAGAGCTTTCTAGAAGTCCTCTTTGGCCAGATTGCTGGAGTGTTAAGATTACTTGCCCT